AAGATAAATATCATTAATTATTAATATGAACAGAGTTAAAAGTAAATTGAGCAAATTGGCTTTTTCTGGCAATTTATGTAATTGTGTAACAAACTGGTAGCCCTTCGCATTAATCAGTACCGGAGAAGTAGCTCTTGGTTTCAAAAAGGTTGGTGACCCCTGATATAAACTGTGTACTGACTCCATTCTGTCTGAGAGAAAGAAACAATGGAAACCACTGGAACTTGAGAGAAACTTAAATAAACTTCCAGAGTTTGGCGCACTACGATCCGTCTCAGTCTGCTTCATTCCTGACAAATATATTGTTATTGTATTGCTATAGAGACATGAACATTCAAGATATGGGGATGCAGCATTTCAGATTTATGCAGCTAAAGTCTGGTATGGTCTTCCTGAAAATGTGAGACAGGCCTCTACCCTGACATAGTTCAAATCCAGGTTAAAAACAGTTCTGTTTAGCTGTGCATACGACAGGAGGACTCTTTTTAATGTACTGTGATTTGATTTTACTGTTGTGTATAGTGCATATAGTTTCTTTTCTTGTTTGGTTTTGCACTTAGAGTTGCCTTGTGTATAAACTGTGCTATACATACACACATACAAATAAATCCTGGCCTTGGCTTGCCAAGGTGATTTCATAACACTTTGAAGCAACTGTGGTTAAAGTTCTAACTCATCATTCTAACATATGCAGAAGGATCCCAGACTTTGTCATATTCTTCAAACTTAAACTAAAATGCTTGGTTTCCCCCTGAACTCATATAATTGTGTCTTATTATATTGTCATGGCTTTTGAGATATGAAATTTTGTCCATATAGTTCAGCCTTAACTTACTTTCTACTTTACTTTTGGGATATTAAACAGGCAAAGCTCTAACTTACTTCAATTTTTGGCATTATAAAGAGCGAACTGGCTGTATGTGCTAATATAGTCCACAGCTTGTCTCTCTTGTCCGACATTAGCTTCTCACAATTCAACAGACTCTTGCTCGGCCTCGCGCACAGCGGGAACATGCTCTCCCTGATCGAGGAACACGTTGACCTCCTCTTTCGTCTAAAAGAGCTGTCACACTGCTGCGTCTGCCTCCAGCGGCGAGGCACACTACCCCATCTGGATCTGAGGGTGATTAAGAAATCCTATCCCAGGCATGGAGGGGCCCCCAGTGTGAGTCAGCGTCTACTAGGAACCACCTCCTCCTCTTCATCATCACTTCAAGTCTCTTTGTTGTGACTTGGCGTTCGACCATGTCCTTTTATTTAAAGCCACAGTCTGGACCTTGGCAACCCCTCGAAAGACCGGGCGATTCTCTGGCCCCGGCTCCCTCTCCCATTCCACTGGACATGCTTTTCCCATGATGCTCCTTGGTGTTCGGGGCCCTGGCTGCGCTCCAAGATAAGCCACCCGCCACAGCATTTGCCACGAACAGAAGCCGGGGCGACTGTTGGTGCCATTGTGTTTTGCACCTGTGCAAATGCGAAGATAGAAACTGATTTAAGAAGCTGTGTTGAATCAAATCTTGCTTGATAATGTGACTGAGGAAGAATCTTTGTAGTTTATGGATTTTATTGAGGAATTATGGATGACAATAAAACAGTGATTCAATGGAAATCTCATGTTTGTGGCAGCGATGTGTGTGTGTGTGTGTGTGTGTGTATATCCATAGAGATGCTTTCACAAAATCTTGAGTAAACAAAACTGATAATAACCTGACACTTTCTCTCTCTCTGGTCTCTCTCTCTTTGGTCTCTCCCTCTGGTCTCCCTGGACTCCGTCTCTGGTCTCTCTCTCTAGACTCGCTCTCTCTGGTCTCTCTCCCTGGACTCTGTCTCAGGTCTCTCTCTGGTCCCTTTCTTTCATGCTTTAACATTTATGAACATTTATGGAGATTAGTCATCACGCTATCCTATAACCAATGACTCTCTACAAAATTGTCAATTTGCCAAAAGATTAAAGACCTCAGTGACGACTGCTTTTGTTATTTAGGCTCTAAAAAAATATTGTAATTGAATAAGCATCCATGTCTCCATTGGTTATCCCTTTATAGTATCACAATAATTTTAAAATGGGCTCCAGCTGAGGTTAGTAGCATTAGTAGTAAACCGATGGAAAACTATTATGAGGTGTGATTTCAAGAATCCAAATCTATGAATTTGCTTGTTGGAGTTGGATATTTGAATATTGTTGGATCAGGTATTGGTTTACTTTCAGTTGCTGTAATAAAACTATTTATTGGCTGATATTAACCCAGAACCTGGGTTCTACTCAAACATTGTTATACTTTCATTACGTTCAGGATGATGGATAAGAAATAAAATATTATTGGACACATTTTAGAACAATTTAGATGTGTTTTTGAGTTTTTTTTCCCCAGGCTTTTCTCTGGTATTAAAATAAGAGAACCTTTTATTTGTCCCACAGTGGGGAAATTTGAAATGTATTGGTTCATTTTGAGTGTCAGAAAGCCGCAGTATCAAGATGGACAATACAAAGCTGGATTGCTAGATGGAAAGATTGCAAAGCTGGATATGACTGAAATAGAGTTGTAAAAATATTGTTTTTACAGTAAAATCCAGATTGGTTTTTAGATAGATTGCAAAGATGGATCCATAGTGGCAACATCCTTGTTTGTAGATTTTAATTCTAATAACCAATGCTACTCATACATACATACTTGGTTGTCTAATTTGCTGAAACACAAACATTATTTTGAGAAACTTCTCAACGGCTGAAGCGCTTATTGCAATCCCACGGTCCCAGCACATACCAGCAATTTCACAAATATCTATACTCCTGAATGGGCATTTTCCCATCCTTTGTTTTCTATCAGCTTTTTACGGTAGCCAGCACCTCTCCATCCCCCAGTGCCCACTCCCCCAGACACACACACACATATGCTTCCATTCCACCCCCCACCCATTGTTCAGGCCGCGCCCCTCCAGCTATGGGACAGGCATGGGGCTATGGGACTGCAACATTACTGTACAAGAAGAGAAAAAAGCTCACACACTGTCTGAACCCACTTTTTATGATGTGAAGTAGGCCTTCTAATGAAATCCTTTGTTTGCGCCCTCACAGTCAACTCAATGTGTTCTCTGCTTTATAAAACCCAGCAGGGAGGCAGTTTTTTTCTTTTTTAAATCGGGCCTGACTGAAAAGAAGGGCTATTTTGTCAGACTTTCCACTTTGTCTGTTCGCTACTCAGTGTGGTGGAATTTTGTTGGTGGGGACGTGATCTAGAGCAATGTCGGAAATAACATGGAGTGAAACGACTAATTTAAAGTAGAGAATAGAATGGTCTGATGTGAGATTGCAAACATTTTAGTCCAACATGAAGTTGCTTATATTTGTATTATTTTATACTGTTTAAATTATATATTTTTTCCTATATCAATCAGGTCAACACAAAAATTTCAGTAATTATTTTAGTCATTCATTCGAGCAGAGTATGAAGAGTAAACAAAGTACTTTCATAATATAATATTTACAATTTGTTTATGGAGATGCTATTAAATGTTGTTTTCTTGTCTACTGCACGTAAAGTATACAGATATACAGACACACTGACTTGATGAATTAATAAATTACTGTGATAAACGATATACATCTAATCCACATCTATATTTTTTCTTGGGGGGGCGGTAGGTTGTGTAAAAAAATTGAAGAACCGATGGGATACTGTGATAGTGCCTTTTAGTGGCACACAAGCCATGCTTCAGCATTTAATTGGCAATGGATTTGGGATATATTTCCCTATGAATGGAGCCCAGTAGGCAGTGGAGTCTATCAAAAAAGGAATAAGTCAGTAACAAAGGGGAGCATCCAAGAGTGATCAATACAGAGCCATTGGGCGGTCTGCCATCGACGGTCTGTTCCCGGTGTCTGGGAAAGCCATGTGCTAATAGCACTGTTTAGAAAACACAGCACTTTTAATGGCTGTCAATGCTTCCGGATGTGCCGCGTGCTTCCACTAATGCCGTGCCGGTTTAGAGGCCGGAGATGAGTAGTGGAGATGACTGGGACGATCTGGAGGTGAGGCAAGATGGGGGAGGAGGGAGCACATGCTTACGTGGTTCAATGGTCAGGAGATAATAGTTCGGTAAAAAGGAACAAGGGAATTTTCCAGTTCTTGGCTGGAATCCTTCAGTGGTGGGGGAGATCTGTTCAGGATCGCAATATTTGATTAAATAATTATCTTCTCTGAGTTTACTCCGGTAATTTACATTTGCGTATTACATCCGCAAGATGGCGTTTGTTGCAGTGCTTTGTTTTCGTGCTTTCATTCAACAGCTAGAACGACATAAGCTTTATAGATCATATTTATGTCCTGTAATAAGGTCCTGCACTACCGTCCTATGTTTTTGCACTTCAGTTCATGTGCAGACCATAATAAGTGCGACATTTGAGTTGAGTCTTATTTTCCTAAATTTTTGTATTGCCTGTGAATAATATGAGGGACATGAATCGCAATATATCACAGATTTGAATCACAACATTTGCTGTATCACAACATGTTAAGAATCGCAATTATATTGAATTGTGGCCCAATACTATCAAATCATCAAATTTTTGCCAATTCCCACTCCTAGAATCCTGGAATGTCAACACTTTTCACTATTCAAGATGGAAATGGATGGGGTTTTCTTGTCATAGTTTATTGAACTTGTAACTTGGAGGAGTGGCCTATATACGGTGGAAGCAGAAAGATAAACAGGAAATGGCTATTTAGACACATTCAGTTTGGACCAAAGTGGACCTTTTGAGTCCAGGCCAACACACAGAAGCGGTTTCTTTTTTTGCTGTACCCCAAAATGTTTCCTAATGATAGGGCTGTGGTTAAAATTATTGTAAAAGCATTCATGTGAAACAACCAGGCATAAAATACAACATGGGAAAGCAGTCTCTTGGTGAAAATGGTATTGTGGTGGGTCTGGGCTGTGTTATAAATAGATATGATAAACACAATGGAGTTTATAAATATATATTTTTTCTCTATTCACAGATTTGTCCAAGAACCGTATGTGCGAGCTCCCAGACGAGCTGTGTCACTTCATCTCTCTGGAAACTTTGAGCCTGTACCACAATGGCATGCGCCTACTGTCCCCCAGCCTGGCCAACCTGCAGGCCCTCACCTACCTCAACCTCAGGTAAGCTCCCCCCGCATCAGGTCAAGACTCAGATGTACAGAACGTCTACACCTGCAGCAAATGTTAACATCCAGTCATTTTTGTAAAGTCCTAAATCACAGCAGCAGTCGTCTCTGAGGACTTTACAAAGCTGTAGATTCAACAACAATAGAGAATCAAACAGTTCAAACACAGGAAATGCAAAAACACATAAGGAGCCATTGGTCCAAAGGGATGTCCATAAATGTATAATAAATGCCTCAGATCCTCACTGTCCTTAGACCAAACACAATAAACAAAAAAAGTTAGAAATGTGAGAAACCTTGATGAGGCCCATACTGAAAGAGGGATCCACTCCCACTAACGGACAGGCTATAGCCCCAGGACTCAGGGTGTAGATCCATGACTCAGGCTGTAGACCCAGGACTCAGGCTGTAGACCCAGGACTCAGGCTGTAGACCCAGGACTCAGGCTGTAGACCCAGGACTCAGGCTGTAGACCCAGGACTCAGGGTGTAGATCCATGACTCAGGCTGTAGACCCAGGACTCAGGCTGTAGACCCAGGACTCAGGCTGTAGACCCATGACTCAGGCTGTAGACCCAGAACTCAGGCTGTAGACCCAGGACTCAGGCTGTAGACCCAGGACTCGGGCTGTAGACCCAGAACTCGGGCTGTAGACCCAGGACTCAGGCTGTAGACCCAGGACTCAGGCTGTAGACCCAGGACTCAGGCTGTAGACCCAGGACTCAGGCTGTAGACCCAGGACTCAGGCTGTAGACCCAGGACTCAGGCTGTAGACCCAGGACTCAGGCTGTAGACCCAGGACTCAGGCTGTAGACCCAGGACTCAGGCTGTAGACCCAGGACTCAGGCTGTAGACCCAGGACTCAGGCTGTAGACCCAGGACTCAGGCCGTAGAATCACGACAGAGGCTGTGCAGTGCAGGACTGAGGAGGCTCCCAAGATTAGCCGACAAGTCCGGGCCGGGGCAGACCAGTCCACAGGTGCAGATGAAAGAGGCCGGATTTATGGCTCCCATCACCACTTTGTAGTTCTCCGTTGTGGTGTCAGATAAGCAATGCAATTTTGCACCCGATCAGTTGGATTCACTATGTAAGACCTGCCTTGTCCCGCGGTGCCAGCGATCGTTCCATTGGTTTGTCGTGGTTTCTTACCTTAGTGAGAAACTGAGTCCGAGAGAGAAAGACGAGGGTTGTTGCAGCTGAATTATGGAGCACTAATGCTTTTGATGTACAAATGGAGACGTGAAGCACTACTGCTGTTTAAAAACGTTGATTGAGAAGAGAACAAGCCTTGATGATCCAACGACCGATCACTGTACGAGAACATTGGAACGGAGGAGAATGAACAGAAATGTGGATATACAACAGATGAGTTTTCATGATTACAAAAAAATACTTAAATACCCACAAAATCCAACCTCTGTGAAAGCTGTAGGTTCACTGTCAGCTGAGGATGGGCTGTTTTTGTCTACATTGAGGGCTATGGCAAAAAAGCAGAACCCTATCCAGATAATATAATAAATCCAATTCAATTCAATATACTTTTGTATAACCCTAAATCACAACAGTAGTTATCTCTGAGGACTTTACAACACCAGCCATTGGTCCATAAGGGATGGATGACCAATGTCCCGAAATGTCTTGGATCATCTATATGGATAGACAAGAATGAACTCTAAAAACCTAGCGAGCTATAGATCCAGGACCCAAGGACCAAGACAACGCAATGCAGAACTGAGGCAGCTCCCAGGCCCACGAGTCCGGGTCGGAGAAAGAGTCCATCCATGGGAGAGAGTCGTCAAACTCAGAAAAACTTGTTTTTGGACAAGCCATCATAGTCCTTGACGTCTTTTGTGGATTAGCAGAAGTTGGTGTGTCGTGCCAGCTCCAGTGTTGGGGTCAGACATGGAGAATCACCGTCATATGCTTTGAAGATCTGCCATATCACATTTAGTCAGTCGTCACGAATCACTGCACATTGTCATTATCGAGATCTTGAAGCGAGACAAATTGTAATGACTCGCTCAACAACCGAGCTGTCACATCAGAGGCAGAACGTCTTGTAATTCCTCCTAAATTTGGATAAGGCAATTAAAAAGAGAATAAAGAACATTGTGCAGCATTTTCATTTTCTTGATTGATTTAGCTGTAGCTCAAAATGCAGACATACTATGCAATGCTAATGTACTGCATCCCTAAGGAACAGCTGCAAACATGGCGGATTCCTATTAATTTCCATGGCAACAGTGTTTTTTTTAAGGTCAATTCCTCTGGTTAAAGCAGCCCTGAGCTTGTTTTGGGGCTACTTCAAATAATGTCGAAGGAATTTACCTTATGTCGCTGTAGCTTGCTTACAAAAACACATCGTTTCATCACTCTATGGCATTGAATATGAGATAAGAAAAAACTTTATTGATCTCACGGTGGAGAAATGTACATGTTTCATTTGGCATCAATAGGATATTACAGGGACTTATTGGGAATTTCCTGGGTAAATAAAGGTAAAAAATAACAATGGTTGAGTTGGTATACCAATAAATCATGTGAACTGAACAAAAGCTAATGTGTAGCAGCCGGTGGCCTGGGCAGGAGAGAGGGATTCAAACAGCCGGCTTGTATTTGTGGATTAATTATATTGTATTCTGTGATTATTATGTGTTGAATGGGTGAGGGAGGGTTGGGATAAAGTAAGCAATCGGTTTTAAAATTGAGTTCTGCAAGTTTGAAATAAATCTAACTTACTAACATTGAAGGTAATGTGTCACTGTTAACCAAGTGTCTCTAAAAGATATTGGATTTAGTGAAACTAGTCATTTAGTGCACTTCTACTGTTTAAAAGTTGCCTAAATCAACACAACAATGTTTGACTTCCTTGATTGACAACACTGTAAGCAGTTCACGTGGAAAAGGTTTAATTTCCGGGTCCAATCTGTCTCCGCTGTTTGAAAGCTAAGCCTCGGTGTTTGCACAAAGTGGGGAAATCTAGCCGAGCTGTCCAAATCCTGCTCTTCGTACAGGACCATACCCACTGATTCCCATCCCACACACTAATAGCACTGTTGCTAGGAGACCGAAAACTCTCCAGCTGGCTGTGAAGACGTGGAGCATAAGTCTGGCCTCTCTGCAAATATACAGAGCATGATATTATCACTGTATACACTGAATATGAGGACGCTGTACGAAGCTAGGACAATATTATGAACTAAAGCCGTTTCTTTCTGACGGGAACAATAACAAAGCTAATGCACTGCAAGTACATCTGTGACTTGTTGGGGTCATATGAATCGAATCAGACTCCGGGGAGCACAGGGACTGGCCTCCTGCTGGTGTCCAAAGCCAGGACTAAACATGGGGAGTCAGCAAATAATGCAGAAATAACCTGGAACGGTCTTACTAAAAATGTGAGACCAGTATCTTCTCTGACAAAATACAAACCAAGATTAAAAACAACTGAATGAAAATGGAGGTTGTGGATTTACACAGGACAAAGTGTCATTTACTTTTCTTTGCATTTTAGATGTATGATCTGAATGCTCTCTTGTTTTGTAAAGCACTGTGTATGAATTGCGCTATACAAATAAACTTCCCTTGCCTAAATCAGGTCTAATGTTGTGTCATGGTTGTGTGAGAGTTTGTTTTACAAGTTTTCAAAAGCAATGAATAAAACAAGCTTGGATATGCTCGATTCACCCACATGTAATAATTTAATACACTACATATATCTAGGCAAGACATTATTTTGTTGACATTAGCTTTAGCATAACAACATTAGCACAGGAGAGGGTAGACAATGGTGAGCATCAACTTACAATGACAGTAGTTTGTTTGAGTAGACCACTAAACCTGGGCCAAGTCTGTGTTTTTAACAAAGTCTTACCTGAGTCTCAACCAGAGCTATAAATACTTTTTGAATTTCTTTCCCGCAGTCGAAACCTCCTGTCAAGCCTCCCCCTGTCGGTGTTCCAGCTCCCCCTCCTGAGAGTTCTCATCGTCAGCAACAACAAGCTCTCCACGCTGCCTGCTTCTATATATGCACTTGCACACCTCCGCCAGCTGGTAAACACACACATACCTGTACACACACACACACCTGTACGCACACACCTGTACACACACACACACACCTTTACTCACGTACACCTACTCACCTACACACGCACATACATTTATACACATACCGTCCTCTCTAATCACTCTTACTTTCTAGAGCACACAAAACTCCCATTTCAAAAAGATCAAAGTTCCATAGTTTCTATAGTAACATCATATACATTTAAATAAAAAAATAATTGATAATGTACAAAATTCATTGATTACATCTATGGACTTATTACAGCAAGTTTGAACACTAAAATGTCTTTCAATTAAAGATGCAGACTGTGATTTCTTCCAGACGCTTTTTTCAAAATATTGTGGGAAACTTAAAAGTATCCATGTTATCATTTGTTTTCATATAGTAATGGAATTGACCAGATGCCTATAGTATAACCCAACCCAAAAATGATTAAAAACATTTTTTTGGAGCGCACCGATAAAAATAAACCAATGGGATTCGTTCATCCCCAACGAACCAATGGGATGCATTTACCCCTCTTCCTGTTTCTTGCGAGTGCGCGCACCAGAGTTATCGGATTTTTTAAAACCTAAAAGAGCTAAATGACAGTTTCACGTTTGTGGAGAGTCCCTGTTAAGACAAAGAAAAGAAAATGCTGGATGTTTGGTTTGGTGGAGAGGGGAGGGGGGAGTGGTTTCGAGTTGGTGCTACGGCTAAGCTAACAAAATCGCTCACTGCATCTTTAAGACAAATGTTGCCTATTTCAAAAATGTTTTGGCCTTTTTTACTTGACTTTCTGTCTGTTGACCTACACTGAGATATGCACAACACAATATTTATAAGTTATGAGTGCACACAGTTCACGTAAATGTATTTACACAATATTTGCATCTGAAAGTAGACATCAGCTACTGGCGCTAAAGGCAAATGTCTAATATAAAAATAATGGATGAAGATGTGTTATTGATCAGTTTATAAAGTGTTTACAAAGGATTCAAATGTAAGCTTTGCTCAGGACAATTGTATCAACCGATCTCAAAGAGGAAATGGTGGTTTACGCTCTGCTGCTATTGTGCTGTCATGGTAACGTATTTATACACAAGTGTGGCGCTAAAAATAATCCATGCTGTAATGCGATGCTAGGAATGGCTTTCTGCAAGATTCTTGAATTGGATTGTGGCAAATAGCTACCATTTTTCTGTTTTAAAACAATCGTGCCCATTAAACCCGGGGTACATGACTTTGAAACCACTATTTAATACATTTCATGCAACTACTACTTCTACAATGCCTCAAAAACGGATCAGAGAATCAAAGAGAATCAGTTTGAAATGCAATAGTCCCTCGCTCTCAACAGATAGGTTCTTTCACTAGTTTTTCACATGAATGCATTTTCGGCCTCTCTTAGTTGATTATATCTCCTCTGGGTTTTTCCTAGGTCTGTGAAGATCTCTCTCTCTCTAAAAAAAAAAAAAATCAGGATTGTATATTACTAACCGATATAATTATTAACCCTAACCCCAAACTGAGCATGAGGTCTTTGTGCGTTCCATGTTCACAAATGTCTCTCTCGTCCTGCAGGATGTCAGCTGCAACGAGCTCCAGTGTTTGCCTCCAGAAATCGGACAGTTAGAATGTCTACGGGACCTGAACCTGCGGAGGAACCAGCTCACCGCGCTGCCTGAAGGTAGAATTTAGAAATAAGCAGTAATAGAAAAGCATTACACTGAGGAACCTGTACCAGCTACATACTCTGCTGACACCCTGTGATGTATACACTAATGTATAAATCACAGTTGTATGTATTTCACGGCTGTCAGACTGGATAAAAGTGCTGAGCATTGAAGTGCTATTGATCTGCGTTTAAACACAAAGTGCATATTCAGAGCTACTTCCGATGTATTGAGTTGAAGCCTTGAGGTTGCTCTCAATAACACAAGATAAGTCTGTGCAGAGCGGTCATGTCAAGATACAAACTGCATAAAGCATTTCCAGAGATTAAGGACGTATATAAAGGTTGCTTTATTGGAGGAGGAAGTAGAGAGATTCAGAATCAGAATTTATTGCCATCGTAAGTAACAGGAAGTCACAAAAACAATAAAAAGAGAGCGGACCGTATGGGACCGTAGCGCCGTGGCGACCATCTGCGACGCCATCTTGGATTATTTACTGCATCGCTGATAGAAAAGTGAAGTATGACACAAACTACTTATTGATTTCATTGCAATTTAAGTTGACTAACTTAACTTTAAAATGTAGTGTTTCCACATTTTCTGAGCTCCGACCAATCAGAGAATGAGGCGTCTTTATGAGGGTTAAGAGCTTGTAGGTTGAGAGAGAGGAAACGACAACAAAAATCAGTGGGAAAAAGCTGTGGACTCTTATTGGTTTCAAATTGAACGGATAGTGTTATTTGTCCATGTTGTTGAATATTATAGAGTCCATTTACAAATATTGCGTAAAGGTAGTTAGGAGGATTTTCCAGAATTTTATGAAAGAACTGCCCTCTCCACTTTTGGAAAAACTAAGCGGGAACTCCTACCGTGCCCAGATCTCCTTGTGCACACTCAGTTTCCAAGTCACTGTCGGTATCACTCACACAAGCTCACTTTCCAAGAAGATTTTGACTTTATCCACTCTGTCAGACAAAGGATTAGACGTACACTACATAACTTTTACTGGAAGTGATTGGAAATGGATTTCTCTAAATAGAATGACAAACTTTACTTGTTGAGTAGAAACTCCACGACTGAAGCATCAGTGGGAAACCCAACCTTAGCTTTCAGCGCACGCCATTGTGTGAACGAATCTCCCAAAAACACTCTGGTCTTTTTTGACGAGCACATACAACAACCTCTAGTCACCCGAAAAAAATAAAATAAAAACTCCTATATACCTTTTAACTTCCAAAAACAATTTGATCCGACTATGGGTTTTACGTGTGAGAGAAGAGGACATTCGAGGCACTCTTGACAGGTTGGGCCGTCTTCAGTCGTCCGGGTTCTTCTTCACGAGTTGTACATGTTTGCCTTCTGTCTGGGAACACTGACATGCGAAATATTACATACAGTCCATTTTTTTCTCCTTTTTTGTGCGAAAGTTTCATGTGCATTTTCTCAAACTACTGTAATGTGAGGATTTCTAATATGTTCAGATTAAGATTGAGACCCCTACTCGTCCCACAGTGGAGACATTTAAATTAAAAGTTACACAACAGTAGGAATGAGAGCACACAGCACAAGATAAACGAACTATAGCTCTATACTAAAATAGAAAAAGTCTATAATTTTAGCATAATAAGGAAGCAACTATAAAATCTCTAACTTCAGCATGATAAAGAAGTTAAAAAAATCTGTATATTCTAGTGCAAAAAATATAAGAATACATTAGTTACTTACTTTCTTTTAAGTGATTTTTCAACTCTTTCTGTATTTCCTCCCCATTATCAAGACTTACTCATCTCCGTTCCTTCGCAGAAATCTCTGAGCTCCCTCTGGTGCGGCTGGACGTGTCATGTAACCGGATCACCCACGTGCCCGTCTGCTACCGCCACCTCCGCCACCTCCAGAGCATCGTCCTGGACAACAACCCCCTCATCCTGCCCCCCGCCCACATCTGCTCCAAGGGCAAATACCATGTCTTCAAGTACCTCAACATGGAGGCCTGCAAGAGGAGCACGGACGAGCTGGAGAGGCACCTGCGGCCCACCACCTTCGGCAGCTGGTGAGTGGCACGTTCAACACTGTCCCGGCGTCAAAAAAACAGATCTGGAGTTGTTTTTATATCCATCCACGCTAATATATCAATTGTCTAAAAACTCCTGTCTCTGTCTTGTAATAGTATGTTATATTGTCAGTTGTCTATATTTTAAAACAAAAGTATTTCCCATAAATTAGTTACAAGTGAAATGACGACCTGTGCTTTCTTTGCGGTACAAAAAACAAAATAAGTTCAACTCATCCCTCTAGTGGCAGCATTAGGAGTTACAGGCAGAACGCATTTTTTTTTAACCCTGCTTACTTTTTTCACCATATAATTTCTACTGAGACAATATTTAACTTTATAAAACATGGGATATAAAGTAAATGACATAGCTCATAATATTTCTTCTTAAATAAACCCATTTTATGCATGCTACTGTATCTGTTCCATAAGATAAAATACCCTAGCAAAATACCCTAAATTAGTGACTAAATGGGAGAAAAATATGTTATCTTTTAATAGGGTATCTTTTAATCACTGGCGGATTTGACCAGAGGATATCACCAGGGATAGTCCATGAGTAAGACATGTCATTCAGAGGGTTGAAGTTGAAATTGGGATTTACACATATTGTCTATTGGTCTGTATTCTCACGCAGAGGCAGGTATTTAGTTTTGGTTCACAGCTGACTAAACATCACCCATAAAGCTTGTATTTGCACTACAATCACATAGGACACAGGCTGGGACTACACTGCTCTCTTGTCCTCTGTTAAACAACCATAGAGAGAAGCCCATGTCGGTCGATCTCTGTTTTAAAAGCTAACTAGTGGTAAATATTTGCATAGTGTGAGGCACAGTGGCCTAATAGCTTCCTCATACAGGACAAATGTACAGTGTGTGTGACTAACGTTCCTCTGTCTTGCAGTCTGTCGGAGCAGGAGCTGTTCACGGGGCAGTTTGGAGGCCTGGACTCTGGCTTCAACAGTGTGGACAGTGGCAGTAAACGCTGGTCTGGTAACGAGGTAAGACTTACTGTATCCATATGGAATATAGGTCATGTGATACAGATCTAATAATGTACAGTGTCATTCAGGCGAATAGTGACCTTGGCTGTGGATGTAGGTTAAATGTAATCCCATAGGAAGCCCATGGTACTCTATTGTGTGGGGTTAGTAGTTTAAGGAAGTCTCATCAAATGCAAAGTGGAGAAATGTTATGTATGTTGGTAAACTGCGCTTTTTGATGGGGTGTTTATACTTTTAAAAATATGAATTAATTTAAGGCAATGGCTTTTTATAGATAATTTAACATAAGAGGAAAGATAACACTGAATTAATCACACAATAGAGAAATCAACCTGTTACATTTGGCCTCAATAAGATCCCTTGGGGTTTGCAAAAAGTCAGGAAAAAGTCAAAAGGTGTCTTGTCTACATAAAAACTAGATCATTAGATATTGATATTGATTAGATATTGCATTTGTCCCAACAGAAAGAGTCAGCTGTTTTTATCTTATTAGAAAACGTGTTATTGTTTGATTACCAGTACTCGGAGTCTCTATTTGACCATTAGGGCTCAAAGCTGATTGGCTGAGTGAGGCTGGTCCTCTCTGTCCAGCCTGAGAAGTTGATGTGACGGAGGCCAAAAATACGTGCACATGAGACCCAGGAATTACATGAATTCAATTTCATCATGCTTTTTTGTGGCTTTAAAGGAATAGTTCACCGTTTATACATACTGACATATGTTCTTACCTTACCTTAGACTAGTTAATATGTACCTGTCTGGTCTCTCTACCTGAGAAGTCTCTGTCCGGAGACTTCTCTCTCGCTCACTTCCGTCAATAGAAGCAGCGTGACTTGTAGTACGTAGAGAAGTTAGTGCGCGGACGTAGCGCTCCTCAGATTACTACGCCTCACAATATAGTACCCGTTTTATCCGCTGAGAAAATCGACAGTTACATTTCTGTGTTACTATACTTTGCAGTGTAACACGTCACGTAACTATATACATTCAATAGGGAACACTTGGAAGAGTTTGGTAGCTTCTAGCGGGAGCTACCTTTTGGGTACTAGTATACAGTATACAGAGGAGGCTCCGTTTGTGCTCCCGTTTTTGCTCCGTTTGCATGACAGAGCACACGGACTAAGACCAGACAGGTACATATTACCTAGTCTAAGGTAAGGTAAGAACATATGTCAGTATGTAAAAACGGTGAACTATTCCTTTAAAGTTAGGTCCGCCAGCTTTAAATGCATATCTAGTCTCAGTATCTTCCTGGTTACCGATGCTTGTGACCGCTGTGTCGTATCCATGGAAACCTCGAGCTTTTCACTTCCCCAGCAGAAGGCGGCATGTCTCTCCTCTCTCTCTCCTCTCTCTCTCCTCTCTCTCTCCTCTCGCTCTCCTCTTGTCAAACTTCATGTGTGGGAATCAGAATAATGCGGATGTGTCCAGCGTCAGGACAAATCCCAGCTGCTGCGGTCTCCTCAAACTGACCACACTAACGAGGCCTGGACTCTGGACTTGGCCCCGGGGCTGGCTCATTCCTGTAGAGCCTCGAGACCTAACTAAACACTTCATAAAATTGAAACAATCCTCTCTTTTTACACTGTTTTGCCGCGTCGTGTTCGAATGTATGGAGCCATTGTATATTGTGACAAAAGGGGTATTCAGAATGCTCCAAATATCTGAAGTGTTTGGAGAACAGATTGCATAATGATTCTACTTAAACTAAGATACATCCACTTTATGGTGTTTGAGGAATGTAGCAGTATCCAAATAACAAAAGTAATATTTTAGAGGAAGCATTGTGTATACGGTATTCTTGGAACTATAAGCCGCACCCGATTATAAGATGCAGGCTCCAATTTTCCCTTATTAAAACACATGTTAACATCGAGGACCCTGTCCTTGACTGCTTTGGGCAAAGACTGAGAGCCTCTTTTTCAGACAGAAAAGCTGATTCAAAGATGAAACAGAGGTCAAATACACATTCACTAGCAATCATACCAAACTGTTTTGAGAGTGAGGACTAGATACATAGATTTTATTAGGTGCTTTTAAAGATTGGATTCCCAGCTTTAAGCAAAAAGACAGACATAGATACCACCACCAGACATAGATAAAACAAGCTAAAAAGTACAATAAACAATTGTCACTGTGAAGTAATCAACAAAAACAGTTAAAATAAATAACAAGTGCAAGATCATTTAAGTACTTTGTTCAGAAGAAACTGTTAGCATATCGATATCTTCTGCCAGAGGGAAGAAGCTGGAGCATGGCTTTTCCAGGGGCCAGAAGAGTCATTGATTATTTTAAGCTGCATTTAAGAGTCAGGATTCACAAAGAACCAACTCGACGTTTTGTACAATTTCACAATATCATTTTTCTTGCAATCTGGATCTTTTTATGTATAGGCTCTTGCCCTGCCTACATATATTTATTCATGTGGGCTGAAAATGGCACAGTGGCCTGCTTTTAGTCTCCCACACAGAGGTGAACATCCTCCACCTCTGGAAAAAATCAATGCAATGAGTTGAGTGGGAATCAATGAGGCCTGGTCCAAAAACCCAGGACTAAAAAAACGGCTGTGTGTTGGACTGTGACTTATGGACCCGTGTTGTGTCAGTCCGCAGACGACTTCTCCGAGCGCTCCCTCCGGTTGGCCGAGGTCAGCAGAGACAAACGCAACCTGGAGGAGGAAGAGGAGGAGGAGGAGGAGGAGGAGGTAGCCCATATACAGTCCACCAAAGGTAAGACTGGAGCAATAAGAACAGCTGTTGGTTTCTTTGTGTTGAAATAGTGGAGTCTCAGCTTTTACAAAAGAGATTATGACATGGTTTTAGTGAAAATGAATGAATACTATTATATTTAGGTGTTTTATATCTATTTGATTGTTGTATTAAGTTTGGTATTTTGCATCTAAGGCTAATTTATAGATTGTGTTCAAGTGAGATCAAGATTCACAAGGGTAGTTTAAAATTGTGGTTGGGGGCGGCTGATGCATATTTCCAGGTAGCTGTCAAAAGTGTCTTAAACAATTTCTCTCATTCCTGCAACTATCCACATGTTCAGTTATTTTTGATGTCTAAGCTGCAGTGGTGTGTCTTTCCTCATTCGTTTTTCATCTTATAAATCCATGGAGTTGTCAGAAGGTGTTTGAATCTCAATATACCACAGAATCTACTCGCAACACTTAAAGATGCAGTCAGCGATTTTTTTTTTCCAGACACTTTTTTTTGTTTTGTTTTTATATTGTGGGAAAACGTGCCTAAACCCTAAAAGTAGTCACGTTATCATGTGTTTTCAAATAGTCCTGGAATTGACCAGATGCCTGTAGTCTACAAAAATTAATAACAAATATTTTGGAGCGGACCAATAAAAATAAACCAATGGGATGCGTTTTCCCCCTTCACCCTCTTCCTGTTTCTCTCGAGTGCACCTGAGTTATCAGATTTTCTAAAACCTAAAAGGGCTGAACAGAAAATGCCAATTTCATATTTGGCGCCCACTCTCCCTATTGTGTCAAAGAAAAAAAAATGCTGGATGTTTGGTTTGGTGGAGAGGCGAGGGGAGGGGGGGGGAGTGGTTTCCAGTTGGTGCTACGGCTAAGCTAACAAAATCGCTTACTGCACCTTTAGGTATCGCAATATGTTAAAAATTGCAATAATATTGGATTGTGGCCCAAATATTGCGATACTATCGAATCGTCACATTTTTGCCAAATCCCACCACTAATATATTCTGATCTAAAAGCAGATTTTAAACCACTGACCGGGTCCATTTGCTAAAACAAATCCATTTGCTTTATCCTCCTGTAATTGACATTGTTCCTTTTGTTGTCGTCCCTTAGTGAACGGAGACGTGGAGCAGGTTGACTTCATCGACAGTAGCGTGCCTGAGGAGGAGGAGCTGAGGATAGATGCCCCCACGCCCCCCCTCACCACCCCTCTGCTGGTACTCACTCGTTAGCGTCTTGTTCGCCGTACGATACCTCCGACCAGGGACTTCATCGACACTTTTATTGATTTTTCCAGGTGCTGAAGGAGAGACGTGGAACCCCCCACAGCCTTGAGGCCTCCCCCACATGCAGGTCAGTCCAGAGTCCGGGATTTAAAGAGGTTTTTGTGGTTTATGTGTCATGCTTTCTGGTGTCATTGTTCATATGTTTGATGTGGAGGGGTTACAGGTGAAACAGGGCACATTTGAAAATCCTCCATAAGTTCAATAATATCTGTAGTTCTTAACATATAAAATCAATATATGATGTAGACTTATTGTAAAGTGAAAAAAAAATTCATAGCATTTCATTTAAAAAAAATAGTACTCAGCCTGTGAACTAGCCATGTATCTGGGATGTATTCAAAGAGAGGCTGAAACTCCACGGCCATTTCCCCCATCTAGCACCCTAGGTAAAGTTTTTATTTTTATTTATGTATTATTTTTTATGTTTTACTTTGGGTTATTTTGGTGCACAAGGGACATGCAGGGAGAAGGGAAGGGGAAGAAAATAAGAATGTCTAAAATAAGATAAATATATAGTACACACAAAGTATTCTTTTGTTGTCATCTCCTGCCGTGGACGCACCCTCACATAAAGATAATGTTGTAATGGTGCCATGTATTGACGTCGGACTGAAAGCTCCCCAGGGCCCGGGTAAATACTTTTGGTGTTTTCCGAGTCGAGCAGGGCCTCTTTAGTGGACAGGAAGTGCAATCATGCTTCCAGCCAATAAGTAACTTCGGTATTAGCTGTGTGTCAGTCAGAGATGAGCTGCACTAGAGAGAGCAGACTGTCACCGAGGCAGATAAAGGCTTTCTCTGCGGTTTCTCTGTGGCTTCTTTCTGTCACTTCACTGTCGGTTTGAGAAGCTGGGAAAAGTCAACACTCTAAAGTTCCCATAACTTTCGCGAAGTTCTTATAAAACCGAGTCCACGTCATGCCGTCTGCTCCTGTATAATGAAAATCTGTTGCAAAATCTAGGGCAAAGTGTTGAAATGACGAGCAAAGAGAGGGGACTGAAGCAGTGTCAAATGTTTCTTTATCTCTGTGGGAACGATAAGGATGTGAATGAGTTCAGGACCAGGCAAAAGTTTGGATTTCTCATTTTATTTGTGAACACAGAAGCGAATTTTCTGTTGCATCTCTGACATTGTCAATGGTAGCATTTTTTGTTTCAATGCACTTAGGAGAAAAACAAAATTCATACAGTTTTATGTTTGAGCTTATTTGAAGTTTATTAGGGCCAGTACATCCATCCATCCATTTTCTTCCCCCCAATCCATATCTGGGTTGGGGGGGGGGGCCAGAGATGCCACCCAGTACACAGAGCACCAGCCCCTCACTGATCCTCCTGCAGGTGGTGAGTCCACAGGAGCTGAGATCTTTCAGTGGGGGCTTCAGGCAAAGTGGGGTTAAGTGTCTTGCCCAAGGACACAACAACAGCAGTCATCAGTGGGAGTTGTGAAGTAGGTCTTACGGTGGGCTCGAACCCACGACCTTCAGGCTCAAAGGCCAATGCTCTACCAACCGAGCTACTGTCAGTACATAATAATAATAAACATGACTGTAAATGTGCCTGTATCAGCTATAGGCAAGGTGAAAAATGCATCACAATACAAAATATTACACATTACCCAAACATTAGTTAGGATGGTACAATTGAAAGCAGGTAATTACAGCATATGAAATAAATTCAATTCAATTTCAGAATGTTTTTGTACAGCCCTAAATCCCAACGGCAGTATCAATTTGCCGACAAAACTGAGGCTGTAGATCCAGGACTGAGGCTGTAGATCCAGGACTGAGGCTGTAGATCCAGGACTGAGGCTGTAGATCCAGGACTGAGGCTGTAGATCCAGTACTGAGGCTGTAGACCCAGGACTGAGGCTGTGTGGCTCAAAAAGCAGACACAAAAGCATTTTTCAGATCAATGGCAGCAGGAACATCGATACAGACACACATTTATAGACGGTTACAGACTTAATTGTTCAATAACCAGAACTGTAGCTGCCTTTTGTATGTGAGGTTATATTATTCTTAGTGGACAACAAGATTATTTGAGGCAGTAGATCTGGTGTTTCTGCTGCTCTGCTCTTTAAAAAAAAAAGTAGTCGTGGTGGGGACAGGCAAATGTCAGAGCTGAAAATACTGCAATTGGTTAGTTGATTAGATAAAATATACTTTTTTTGATCTCACAATGGAGAAATATGTAGTGACTGAGCTACTGTCTTCTGTATTACCTGTATTACTGCTGCTAAAAGATCGACATCGACCCACAAACTTAATTTTGTATTAATTTGTATTTGACTCAAGTTCTTCTATTGCAAATTCACATGCTGACCCACCGACCAATCACTGCAGAGTTTGTGAACGTGCCAAAATGTCTGTTAAAACATTCTCCTTCCAACCGTTTCCTCTGCAGGTGATATTACCATCAGCAGCAGCAGTTTGTGAGTTCCGCTGTGTATTCACTGAGCAGGAAACAGAAGATGAGGGACACTTGTATCAGCTGCATCTATGCATCAATAATCAGCATTTGGGAAAAGAAGAATTATTTTTAGTAGTAGTAGCAGTAGCAGTAGTGTTGTCAGTGCTAGTTTTTATCTCGTGCACTAGGACATTGTTGTGTTGTTGCTCAAATGCAGAGTGATCCATTGAGATTCCCTCACCCGCCTCTTTCACCTGTCTCCCTCACCTACCTCTCACCTGTCTCCTCACCCGCCTCTCACCTGTCTCCCTCACACTTCACCCGCCTCTCTCACCAGTCTCCCTCACCGGTCTCTCTCACCCGCCTTTCTCACCCGCCTTTCTCACCGGTCTCCCTCACCCCTCACCTTCACCCTTAACCGGCCCCTCTCACCGGCCCCTCTCACCGGCCCCTCTCACCTGTCTCCCTTACCCGCCTCTCTCACCGCCCCCCTCACCTGTCTCCCTTACCCGCCTCTCTCACCGCCCCCCTCACCTGTCTCCCTTACCCGCCTCTCTCACCGCCCCCCTCACCTGTCTCCCTTACCCGCCTCTCTCACCGGTCCCTCTCACCTGTCTCCCTTACCCGCCTCTCTCACCGGTCCCTCTCACCTGTCTCCCTTACCCGCCTCTCTCACCGCCCCCCTCACCTGTCTCCCTTACCCGCCTCTCTCACCGGTCCCTCTCACCTGTCTCCCTTACCCACCTCTCTCACCGGTCCATCTCACCCACCTCTCTCACCGGTCCCTCTCACCCGCCTCTCTGACCGGTCCCTCTCACCCGTCTCCCTCGCTGGGGAAGAATGCCTCTGTAAACATAAACACACTCAGCGGATGCTCCAGGACGGCCCCCACGCTTCCTCTGGGACCTCCGAGAATAGGACTCTCTCTCAGACTGGATCTGGATTTTCTAAACTGGTTTGAATTGATACAAAGGAAATGTTGCAGAAATAGGCCATGTTTTGTCCTGGTTTTCGGAACAATTGATTCATTTGTTTTTTTTTACCGGGAATCTGCTGAACGTAAACAAATCTGGGATAAATCTGAAAATGGATAATAATAACATCCAGCAAGTCAGTTAAAGCAGAGGTACCTAACTTTCCCCTCACAAATAATACATGTTGGTATTCCCAAATGAGTCACATGGTGTCTCCATATTAGAAGTTTTTTGGTTATAATTTTTCATTTAAATTTTCACCTAACATAAAAACACATACACACACATGTCCTACTTGTGCATACTTGTGAGAAAGAGCCCTGTGAGTCACTATTTGTCACTTAGTGAGAGCTGACTGAGGGCGGTCCTCTTTTATTCACTTTATTGTCTAAAAAATCTGAGACAACATACATGCATGTGAAAACTAGTGATGGAACCAAATTTTTGAGAGCAAGGTACAGATTTTATTACATAGTTACATTTCTTTTTACCAGTAGTTTGAAAGTTAGGTCCTCCGGCTTTAAATACAGATTTGAAAATAGATGGTATAGATAACAAATAAAATTGGAGAGACATAGATACAGGTAGATTATATAATTAGGCTTTTTTTTTGTATTGTTTCTTTTGTAGAGGTATTCAATTACAAGCATCTCTTCTTGCTTTTGTACGAGTACAGCTAAAAACATTGAAATTGTAGCTTATTATTCTTCTAACATCTCCATTGTGTGTTTGTTTGTGTGTGTGTGTGTGTTTTCAGGTCCGGTCTGGTGGTGGACCCCTGCAGCCCCTCTTCCACCTCCTCGTCTCCGATCCAGTCTCCCTCCAGTCCCACCCTGGAGGAGCGCAGGCGTCCCGGGACTCTGCTGATCTGGCAGGAGCGCGAACGGCAGCAGCAGCAGCAGAGAGAGAAGGCCAGGTACACAGCTGCATGATCTGACCCTGTGGGAGTCTGAGGAGGTCTGGAAGTGACATCACCCACACTAAAATGCGTCTGGTGTGTGTGTGTGAATGGTTGGTGGTGGTGGGAGGGGCCGATGGCACATACTGGTTGCCTCACTTCAGACAGTGTGCCCCAGGGCAGCTGTATATTACCACTGTGTATGGAGTTCAAGAATTGACATGTGAAGCTTCTTAGTGTCCAAAATGTCGTCTTACGCAATGCCGCTGTTGTAAGCATCAGATAAGGAAGTTGTTATTGCTCATATTGTGAAAAGTCGAAAAGTTTACCCACGTCATAAATGCCTCAAGTCGGTCTTTAGACTAATAAGAAGAACTATAGATTGATTGAGAACTAATCAGAACTGTAAAACCTGGATTTGAATCTTGTCAGAGTAGAAGCCTGTCATACATTTTCAGGAAGACTAGCTGCATAAATCTGAAATGTTGCCTCCCCATGTTTAGTCCTGACTCTGGGAACAGTCCCTGTGCTCCTCAGTGTCCCAGCAGGAGGCCAGTTCCTGAGTCCGAGTATGGTACTAATATGTCACAGATGGTGCGGGGATATGGACACAATCAGAGCTGCTGAATTCTTAATGCACACATTAGGGATTTAAAGCTAGCAAACTTTTCTTATTTGATAAATACATTTTGTTTGTTCCAACAGAAAAGTCTTGTGTAGGAAATATTTTGTTGGCAAATCAGACCACCACATGCTGTCTCTATCTTGTTATAACATGTTATCTTCTGCACCCTGAGACCTGACTTGAGCCAAGTGAGTGAGTGGTCCTGATCTTTTCCACATAAAAATCTAATCTCAAGATGAAGCCAAAAGTACATGCTCGTAAAAACCAGTGAGGAACGAGTTGGATTTTATTACAAAGCCAATTGTTTGTAATTTCAAAGTTAGTCACTCTGTCTCTGAACATGGATCTAGACCTGGCTTGGACCTAGACTAAACCAGGACCAAACCAGGACAAGTGTGACATATTTGATGAAGGCCACACATAGTGATGGCCTCAAAGTCTTGGCCACAGGTTGCTAGAGTCAACAAACGCAGAAACAAGGGCCCATACAGGCGTCTTACTATGACATTCACTGACTTTATTAGGCTCACAATCTCCTCCCAAGTCCAAGCACGATTCTGTTGATTGACCAGGACACCGATACTTTCCTTTTACTTGTTTGAAAGCGTGATTTTTGCTTTTGCGTTTTGCTTGATTGCAATCTCTGACTGCGTTTACTTCTCAAGAAATATCATTCAAAGGGAGAGTCCATGTGGCTCAATGCTGCTGCTGCTGCTGAGAGGGAGGGGGGCCATGATTAAACCCATTGGTCACGGATATCACATGACCTGTGCCCATCTGCTCTGCTTCTGATTCTAATGAACTGTTTGCAAACTTTGTCCCACAGCCTGCTCCGGTCCTCGAGCAAGACAGGAAGTCATGTGACCCCCACACCGCACACAGGAAGTCTGTCAGGGTGAGCGCCGTGCAGATTTCAACATGAGCTTGAAGACACTTGTACAAATGTGTCAGTTCTCAGGGTGTTGTTTATGGGTTTCTATTGTGGCTGTGCTTAAAGCTGAGGTAACTGGCTTTCAAATCACAAAAACGATATGGAATCAATCAAGAATCGTATTTATTTTATTGTCATTGTGAGTAACAGAGAGTCTAAAACTAGGAATATGCTTTGGCTCTCAGTGCAAACAAATTATAGAAAAATAATAATAGAATAAGGCGTGCATGAAAATAAATGCAAAATCTCTCACTAGTTCCTGGTTCCTGGTTATACAGGTCTATGGGAGTAAAAGTGCACAGAGACACTTACTTATTTGGGATTTAGTGAAAAAAGTGTGTGTTTTGATGGGTTTCTACTGTGGCTGGACTTAAAAAGCTTAGATACCTGTCTTTCAAATCACAAAGATATTTAAACTATATACAGTATGTAATCAATTCTGCCTCACTACTTCCTGGTTCTACTGCAGTTTGCTTCAATCACTAGTTTCACATGTTTGTATTTTTGGCCTCTGTCTCAGCGCAGGATCCGCTTATTTAGACTGAAAAAGAGTGAATCAGCTCAAAGAGTCAAATAGTGACTCCCAGGGATCTTTCTCACAAGCATGCAAACGTTTTGGAGATTCCTTTTTCCTTATTTACCCATTTATAGTTACAGTGTGTGTTTTGATGGGTTTCTATTATGGCTGTACTTAAACCTTTTTTGTGATTTGAAAGTCAGGTACCTCAGCTTTAACTATATGAAATAAATTTTGTCTAGCTATTTCCGTGTTCTAAAATAGTTTTTACAGACTGAAAAGTGAAAAAAGAGAGATCCAGCTCCCAGCTCAAAGAGAGAGAGTTTGTTAACAATATATCTTAAGACAAGACAAAGAACCCCGTTGGGGTCTGATTTTTTCACAATAGTTAAACAATAACAATTTTTTTTAACCAATCAAAAGCATAATTGTCATTGGTTTGTTCTCCTCATAAACATACGTTGTGTTGTGTCTCCCTCTAGCGGCTGTTCACCAGACAGCAACAGTTCTCACACCAGTCTGCGCCAAAGATGTGCCGTAAGTACCACTTCTATTTTTTTTTTAGAATTAATACATCTTGATTTAATTAGGTGAAATTAACATACTATCAAAAAGAATTGAACATTTTCAGAGAAAAAGCCAGTCACACATTATCAGGAAGACTGTTCTGGATGTAATATAAGGCATTCAAAACATTAAAATAAATAACAGAATTCAATAGACAAAAAAAATAAGTATGAAAATGTCGAGATGTGTTTGTGGGACATCGGGTCAGCTGAGAAAATGTGACTTCTTACAGTTTTTAGTCACATTTCTTTATTTCCCCCTCTGTAAATTTGTCTATGTTTGGGTTTTCCATTCATTTGTCCTTTTCTCTGTTTCCTCCAGAGCACAGAGCAGAGTGTGTCCCCGTCCCTGCAGCGCTCCAGCAGCAGGACAGGTGCATAGCGCAAAACAAACGCACTTCTAAACTTGTTGATTGCTGACGATTTAATGTTGTGTCTCTCTGGGTTGTTTCAGACGTCCCCTCCTCTCCAAAGACCTCCTCTCCGCCTTCTCACACGCCCAAACCCAACAGCTTTCTCTTCCGCACCTCCTCCCGCTCCACGGTCAAGCCCGGAGGTGGGTCCAGCTCCGTGGCTTCTGCTCCGACCAATAAAAAATAAAAAACCTGGGAAAAGATGTCAAACATACAGGCTTTTACAGATGCGTGTTTAATTTATTTGTCATTTTTTGTCGTTTTTCAGGAGTGCCGCTCAGTGAGTTTGGACGCAGCGAGTCTCGGACCACCCTGAGATCCCCCAAAGAGGACAGACCTGATGTCACACAGATACGCAAGGTACCTGTCCTATTCTTTTAAGAACGTTTTCAGTTTCTGTGAAAAGTATGAATTATATGCTTCTTCTTCCTCTTCCTCCTCCTCCTCATGGCATAAGATAGACTTTATTGATCTCACACTAAGAATGGAAAAAGATAGATGAATAATAATAATCATGGTAATTTTAGCTAAATGACAAGAGGAACGAAGTCTCATTTCAATAAAAACACAAAAAAACCTGCTTTTCCCCCAACGCTTAAACAAGGCTTTAGTCACATTGATTATTATTAGGAATTGTGTAAATGTTGTTTTTAATGATAAATCTTTTGGTATGTCTTCTGGTGGCTTCACGTTCAAAAAGACGATCAGTAGAAAGATGGTAGAAGACGTGGAGCAGTGAAATTCCTTCCAATTTTCTCATCTGTAGCTAAAGCATCAGGATACAAATCGTCCAAATCGCAGCAGTCTGTACCGATCCAATCACAAAAACTGTACAAAACGTTGGCCAAACCCTCAGCTCAGAAGCTGTCGTTTCTTTGCCCGTGTCCAGATTGTGTCCAGAGTGTTTTTCTGTATTAAACACTTCTCTGTTGTTGTTTTTCAGGCTCTGGAGTCTCGTCTGAAGATCAGTCTGCCCGAGGATCTGGGAGAGGCTCTGTCTAACGGCACCGTCCTCTGTCAGCTCGTCAACCACATCAGGCCCAGATTGGTCTCCATCATCCACGTCCCTTCCCCCGCAGTGGTGAGTCTGGGCTGGGGCAGAGTCTGGGCTGGGGCAGAGTCTGGGCTGGGGCAGAGTCTGGGCTGGGGCAGAGTCTGGGCAGAGTCTGGGCAGAGTCTGGGCAGAGTCTGGGCAGAGTCTGGGCAGAGTCTGGGCAGAGTCTGGGCAGAGTCTGGGCAGAGTCTGGGCAGAGTCTGGGCAGAGTCTGGGCAGAGTCTGGGCAGAGTCTGGGCAGAGTCTGGGCAGAGTCTGGGCAGAGTCTGGGCTGAGTCTGGGCTGAGTCTGGGCTGAGTCTGGGCTGAGTCTGGGCTGAGTCTGGGCTGAGTCTGGGCTGAGTCTGGGCTGAGTCTGGGCTGAGTCTGGGCTGAGTCTGGGCTGAGTCTGGGCTGAGTCTGGGCTGAGTCTGGGCTGAGTCTGGGCTGAGTCTGGGCTGAGTCTGGGCTGAGTCTGGGCAGAGTCTGGGCACGGGCCTATTATTTGGGGCCCCAGTCCGACCGGTTTTCAGAATTCTCAGGCCCAAACCCGTATCAAGCCCGACTTTTTGTTTTGTTTTTACCTCCCATAACAATGTTTTAGCGTGGTATATAGTGCCCCGCACTGATATGAACACAGGCCCGGCTAGAGGGCGGAGTTATACATGGTAGTGATGTGTTGCAATGAGTTCTGTGTGTACGGAGTGAACGGCCGCAATAAACTACAACACACTTGAAGGTAACGCGATGTGTCGTCAATACTATACAGAACAACAAATACTACAGCGTGATAGAACGCTATATTCATTGGGTGAGTTCGTAAATGTAATCTGAAAATGAATAAATAAAAGTGCCCGGCCCGTGTTCGAGGTAATTATACTGTCATCGGCCCGAAGCCCGGTCCATGGGCTGTCGGGCCCCTCGGGCCAAGGTCTTCCGTGCAGGGCGTGTGTGTCTGTGTGTGTGTCTCTGTGTCTCTGTGTGTCTGTGTGTGTGTGTGTGTGTCTGTGTGTCTGTGTGTGTGTGTCTGTCTCTGTCTGTATGTGTGTGTGTCTCTGTGTGTGTCTGTGTGTGTGTCTGTCTGTCTCTGTCTGTGTGTTTCTGTGTGTGTGTGTCTGTCTCTTGTCTGTATGTGTGGGTGTCTCTGTGTGTGTGGGTGTCTCTGTCTGTGTGTTTCTGTGTGTGTCTCTGTGTCTGTTTGTGTGTGTATCTGTGTGTGTGATTTCTTACGGACAAGTCGTGAGCCTGAGGAATGAGGGAGGACAATAATCTGCATCCAAATGAATCTCCGGGTCCTTCTTCCACTCTCCTGGGAGACGACACATCATTAATTTCCTTTTTGTTTTTGTTTTGCAGCCAAAGCTCAGCGCGGCCAAGTGTCGCCTGAACGTGGAGAACTTCATCGCCGCCTGTCGCAAACTGGGCGTTCCGGAGGTAACCATTTTAATGAGTTCTAAGTGACTTTGCAACCTGCTACATTCAACTGTTATTAGCCACAAAACAAACAGGCCACACTCGCTCAGATGTAGCTGGTTCACGACATAAATCACCTCTTGTTTTGAATTAATGGCCGTGTCTTGACTGTTGACAAATTGTGTTTCTAGTCTAGTAGTAAAAAGTTCATTCTTCAACACTGGAGGCGATAAATCTCAGGCTAAAGCTGTCGAGTAGTTTATGGATGTCCTGCACATACAATAAAACACAGCACTTTTGAGACATGTTCCCAGTTATGTCTGTTTTAGTTCTTCGTAAATGTGACACGAGAGACTCATCGCAGGGTTCAGAACATTCTGTTTGCTCTGTGTGTTTTTATATATATATAGTATACATTTTGAATCACATAAATAAATACTAGCTACTTTATTGATCCCCATAGGACAAATGCAGGTGTCCAGTAGCAGCAGAAACACATCCATCCATACAAGCAAAACATATAAATTGATCATCCTAAAAGTAGCATTAAAGTTCCCGTAACCCCGTAGAACCCAGACATAGAAATATTTGTTTATTTGTTTGGAAAGCAGCGTGCGGTCACCAAATTACCAATGTAGCTTATTTGCTTCTTTGGCTTCATGGGTACGTACATTCGATGATGCATTTATCCAAAAAGCCTTACTTCTTTTGTCATAACCGTTGAACTTTATGTCGTTTATTTGAGAGTGCTACAGGGTTAAAGGACATTTGTATATTTAAGGAGTTTATTTATATACATTGTACACTGTGAATTTCTCCATTGTGAGATCAATACATTTTTATCTAATCTTATCTTGGGACAGTCCCTCAGTCTTCTGTCTTTGCAAACATAAGCAGAACCAGGCAATTGTAGTACACGCCAGGTTTTAATTCCAACCAAGTGAGTCCAGAGACTTAAGGAAATGGTTGGGGTCTGGTGTGCATGGTTGGAAGGAAAACTTGCAACCACACTGGCCCTTTCTGGAACAAGTTTGACGTCCCTGTAGTAAAAAGGTCCATGAAGTGTTATTTGATGCAAAAAGCTATATTAATCCAATCTCCTCCCATCCATTCAGACACATACTACAATACAATACTTAAAAGGATCAAAACCCTGCAATACCCTCCAATAAAACACATGACACACACTTGCACACATTAACACCAATGGCAATAGACAGACAAGATCAAGACCCACAGACGCACTTATTCACACAGACAAGACCCAAAACACATCAGTTTTCCGTGATTTTTGTCCTTTTGAAGCAGAATGTTCCGACCCCTGTGCTGATGCTCTGTGTGGGCTTTCTCTGTGGCTTCTGTCCCTAACTCCTCGTCCCTCTCGTCCTGTGTCCCAGATGGACATGTGTGCGTCCTCTGATGTGCTTCTGTGTAAACTACCTGCTGTGCTACGCTGTGTGGGAGCCCTCCTGTCCCGTGTCGACGCGGGGGGCCCAGAGGAAGAGGAGGAGGCGGCCCCTGTTCCCCGGCCCCCCTCCCAGTCGTCACTGTTGTCCACAGACTTCCTGCTCTTCTACAGCGCTGCCATGGCTCTGCTCTACGCGCTCTACTGCTACCTGCTCACATAGACTCTCCGGCCTTCTTCTTCACGTGCCACATACAGCTGCCGAGAGGGGACGTCCCGCAGCCGAGCACCTTGTGACAAGCACAGGACACATGCCTTAGCCTTTAGCCTTTAGCCTCTTCCTCCTTTACCCCCCGACACTTGAGCATGTTTGAGACAGAGACAGGAGGAGAGAGGGAGCAGGACGGAGCTGGACACAGACACAGAGCTGCAGCCGGGACCATGTAGAGACTCCTGCTTTGCACATTTACACCACTTTTTACAGCAGAAGGTCTACTTCAAAGTGAGCTATTTCAAAACACAGCATTAGTCCATTTAGGAGAATAGAAGCACGGGATGTCGCAGGTGGGAAAGTGTACGTTTAGAACTTTACAGAGATCGTTTCGGACGGTTCTTTGGTATTTGGTTCTTCTCTTCCAGACTATAGTAAGTTGACTTCACAGTAAGTTATACTTCTGTCTTTCTCAGAGACCCTTCTGAGGAAGACAGAAGTATATCGTGGAAACATGTCAAGATTAAGATTTAAGAGATCGTTTATTCGTCCCACAGTGGGGAAATTTCAGTGTTTAATCACCGGTTACAGATCAGCAGGAATGGGGAGCACACAGCACAATATAAATTAATTAAGTACAAAATCTCTAATATTAGCCTACCGAAGAAGCAAGAATTACGTACACCATCTCTGATTTTAGCACAATGAGTAGTAGAATAAAAATACTGTATATTCTAGTGCAAGAAATATCTAGTTGTGTGTTTACATCTGTACATGTTAACCTATACCGCTACATATCGCACATTCTTACACTATTAAAATTATTATTGCACAGATGAGTAAAGTAAATTGACAGTGGACACATGTGGTCAAGATTATAACATCGCTAACTTACTATTGTCTGGTGCAGAAGAACCAAATATCTTTACATAAACTTAGAGAATTAGAAAGGTACTTGTAAAAGATATCTGAGGATTGTCGTTTCGTGACATGAACTGGTCTGTTGTGCCTGTGCAGCTCTGTCGTCTCCAAACCTTCCTCAACTTTGAAAATGTGAATGTGACTTAAGCTTCTTTTTTTGTTGTTTTTTTATGAGAAACGAGTCGACTGACCCACACTACACTTCCCACTCGCGACAGCAGAGGGCGCTATGGTCGCGTTTGTGGGCAAAACTGACGGTACAGAGGGTTATGAATTGAGAACCTGGTCTCTCTTTGAGTTCGTTTTGGACCAGACCAGTTAGACTTCTTTATGTAAAAATGTAAACAGCTTAAATTATTGATCTCGTTTATTTTTTATTTATTTCAGTCTGTGGAAGGAGTTGGCCTCGGAATGCATGTGCGTGCGCTTAAGATAATGCACTCACAGGTCGACTCCCAGTGATCAATATTCAATTATACTTTAAATAACATTGATCGTGGATGTTAGGCCGCCGTCGGATTGGTAGATCACTGATCCTTTGAGGCTACATCCTGGGCTTTTTCTACCTTCCGATCGATGCCGGTCCAACACCAGGAGCTGATGAGAGCTCGCCAGACTGATGGGGGCCTCTAAACACTACTGCAAAACATTACACAGGTCCCTGCTGTCGTTTATGGACAGCACAGGGACCAGGGCTCAATGAACTTAGTGCAAAAGTCCATGGGAGAACTAGGGTTTTTTTGGGGCTGTAATGGATCTGGCAGTTTTTCTTTTTTTGTCGGTACAGGTAAAACTTAACATGATTTCAATTTACTAGTTGTTTACATGGCACTTTTCCTAAACAAACAAGTTTCCAATGTGCTGCACAGAAGAAGACAGTAATGAAAATAAAACCAAACCAGCTGATAATATAGATGAATTGCCCAGTCTGACGTTAAATCAAATGGTAGTAGAGAAATCAATGGAATAAAATAGAGTGAAAAATAAATAATAATAAAAAGATAAAATAACACAGAGGACCACACAATTCACGATGCGTTCAAAGCCAGAGAATAAAAGACTTAAAATACTGAGAGCCAAATGGTAGTAGAGAAATCAATGGAATAAAATAGAGTGAAAAATAAATAATAATAAAAAGATAAAATAACACAGAGGACCACACAATTCACGATGCGTTCAAAGCCAGAGAATAAAAGACTTAAAATACTGAGAGCAGAGCTTTCCATAGTCCAGCAATATACTGTAGAAGGACTTTTCATCTGGGTTTTAGACCACAGGAAAGGTCCTCTCTCCCCGGATTTAGACCACAGAGAAGGTCCTCTCCCCCCGGGTTTTAGACCACAGAGAAGGTCCTGTCCCCCCGGGTTTTAGACCACAGGGAAGGTCCTGTCCCCCCGGGTTTTAGACCACAGGGAAGGTCCTGTCCCCCCGGGTTTTAGACCACAGGGAAGGTCCTGTCCCCCTGGGTTTTAGACCACAGGGAAGGTCTTGTTACCCGGGTTTTTAAGTTTCATCTTGGGCACCCCGTGTGGACCCTCTGTCCTCAGCGTCCAGAGTGGATGTTAAATTCAACATTTCAGAAGTAATTATCACAGTTATTGCCTGTCCAAAAATTCAAACTATTTGTCTGTCTAATGCAATCCCTCGTTGACTTCACAAGTTCAGTCTCTTGAGATGAATTGAGAGAATTTTTATAAATGTGTCAAACTGGGAAAAACATTTAGAAAATATTGTACTGCCATATTCAATGACTGAAACTCAAAACAGAAAAGAGGATTTTTGAGAAATATGTTAGGAAAAACAAACACTAATTCTAATATTTCGATTCCATTCAAGACAAATTTGAAATTAAATAGAAGCTGCAACATCACAATTTTATGTGTTTTGTCTTCGATCACATTAGAGGCTCAGATTTGACTGAAAGGTTATAATGTGAACTTTATTTCTATTATATCTAAACTGGGGGAGGGGGTTCAAACTGGCTCCAGAGAGGACCAGTGTCACTACGGGTCTTCATTCCAACCAAGCAGGAGCACAGCAGACTCCACCCATTTCCTCAAGTCTACAGGGGAAGACTGGACTCTTTTGAGGTAATGGGTGGAGTCTCTGTGTGCTTGGTTGAAATGAAAACCTGCAGCCACACCGGCTCTTTTAGGACCGGTTTAACAACTAGGATCTAAACTGACATGCACTAAAAACCTGACTTTTTTTAGTTTAAAAAGTTGTAACTACTTTTTCAAAAATAAGCTGTTTCCTTTTGGTTTTGACTGAACCCAGTGGCCTCTTTATCTCGGTGACAAAATCCCGCTTGTAAACAAAAGCCATACTGTTCAAATAGCACTATCTTTTTGTACGCCAACTCGCAGATGCACCCTGGGAAATGTAGTCCGTCCATCCGTCCGCTGTAAGATAGACCCGACGCACGAGGGGGAACTTTGTACTGGTCCAATGCAGATGGGCGTTTTGTAAGCCGACCTCGCTATATTCTTTAATACGTTAGTGAAGCAGAAATATTGTTGTACTTTATATTTATATCATACCTTAAGAATCTTTTTTGAGTTTATATAAATCTATATGGAAGTTTTTTCTCCTTGTTGTAAAGAAATTATTAAAAACTTTGAAATTGTGTTTGTCTGCTCTTGTGCTGCTTTTGTGTGTTTGATTTCAGTCGTGAGGACAACTGCAGGAGCCTGATTCTTTACTAATCAGACGAAGAAGAAATTATACAGCTGGACAGTTCATACTCTGCCTAGCAACAGATGTATTAGCTTTTGCGGCATATAATTTCAAAGCTTTAAATAAAAAAAATTAAAAAATCTAATAATCAGTATTCACTAAAGATGGCATGAATTAAAGGTGGGGTACCTAGCTTTCTTCCCATGTTTATTCAATACATGTTATTCCTAAAAGTTATTGTTTGTTACTTTTTAAATTGAGAAACTTTTCAAAGGGGGCACTGGTTAGATCCGCCCACACTCACCTCTGCAGACCGCTGATTGGTCGAAATTGTTATTTCAAATATTTGAGGCCGTTCGACATTGGTTAAACAGTTATACTTTAAATATGACCAGTCGTAGTTCTGCCAAGGGGAGGGACTGTTTATATACTTCTGAACATGCGACACAATATCTTATAATCTTTTACAAATTAAATACAACTTAAGTGTCTGACATCTTTAATGAAAAAGTAAAAAGCTTGTAAACAAAGCCCAATGAGTCACTATTTGATGCTATGGGCTGAGAGAGGGTGGTTCTCATTATTTCCCCGCTCTCTCTTATACTTTCTGATAAAGATGATGCATACAACTGGAGGTGGAACCAAACTATTTTGAGAGCGAGGAACTAGTAGATTTTAATACATCCTTTCTGTTTTGTGGCTTGAAAGTTAGGCACCCAAGCTTTAAGACTAAACACATATGCTAATTAGCCAAGACATTTTTCCCCCTTACCAATTTGAATAATAATTAAAAAAACTTGTACTGAAATATGAAATAATGTATTGAAAATTGTCATAAACCGCAAATCGAGTTTTTATTTTACTCGTTATTAACAACAAACAAACAGTCCTGCAGTTCCCCTCATGCTGCCGCTCTAACCTCTGTCCACAATCAGAGTTTTGCAGGAGCAGGACGTGTCGTAAGTAACTTGTGGAGAAGGTGAGTATGAACCATGCTTTAAACAAAACTTCATTCCTCTAACTTAAAGGGGAGGTCTCTAGCCACAGCTTCAGCCTCTATGCAGCACCATGCCTCTCTCTACATAATCAGCTGCTCAGTATTCTCTACACAGACCTCACAGCATCATTATGTAATTACAGTGGGATAGATATTAATATACATTGTGCATATATGTTCGATGAGTTTTCTGTTTTATCTATTTTATTTTATTTGGTTTGGTTTGGACACAGCCGTTACATTGGACGGATCAGATGCACCTGTTTTCAGTGGGAAACCATTTAGTATAAGGGCCATTTTACTTCACCAGACTTTACTTGTCCAGGGGCTGACAACCTAGGACTGCTTGTAATGGATTTGGTCTTCTCTGATCTTTTATATAGGTTCCCATTTACCATAATTGAAGGCACCATGGTAT